TGCTTTACTATGCTTAAAAGTTACAGTAAAAGCCAAAATTATGCATGAAACCTGCTCCAATTCTAGTGAACATTAATTTTGATTAGGAAAATTTGCTTTGAGCATAGCATTGTTTCGATAAAATTTAAAGCTATGAGTCTTGATAAACAGCATGTCTGAGTGGTATCTAAAGTTGTCAGTGTCAAATCCTAAAGTCTGCTTTTTAAAACTGTAATTATAATTACTGAAATTAATATTAGTCGACCAACCGAACTTTACTTCTCTCTGGTTATTATGAATGCTACAATTTGATTTGAGTGAATGTGGCAAAAATTACATTACAGAATTCGCACTGAAGTACAAGGATGCCCATAAACTGATTAAACACGTAATAACTCGATTTTGCACAGATAACAAAACATGCATTGAACCTTAAATGCATAAACTCTCAAAGTTTATAATCATATTGAATACATTTAATAAACTTCCGCAAATGCACCCCTGGTAATAAGCAAATTATCCAATGAGTACTCAATCTCACGGAACACATTCTTCAGCATTACTAGTATCATTGTGCGAAAGGCGTTTTTGATGTGGTGTCGTAAGTTCACAGCATCAGGAACTGCTGTATGATACACAATGACTTTAACATTCCCAAAGAAAGAAATCTAGGAGGAAATTATGTCAGATGTGTGTGGCATGAAATTAAGCACTCTGGATATTTTGCATGCTACCAAGGATGCACACGTGGAAGTTTATTAAATGTTTGCAATATGATTATAACCTGCGGAGGTTTATGCATTTGAGGTTCATTGCGAGTTTCATTATCACGTTTTGTAATTAGGGTAAACATTTATGGGCATCCTGCATTAATAATGTAGTACAGAAAAATCATCTAAGATTGCAAACTGGCAGCGTCATTAATCTACTTTCGATTTTAAATGAAAGGAATTAATTGAAAAAAATTAATGATTTAACTCGTTTGGTTAACTGTCATAGTATACAAAAAGTACTTTTAAACGCAATTTATTACATGATTAATTACGCATGTAACGACTTCGAGAAGAGATTTTTATTCTGGACCCAATAATATCAACGCTGAACAACGGCGTCAAATGTGTTCTCCATGTATATGAAAATGCAAGATTTTTACATTGCAGATTATTCGTTTGTGTTTTTGTCCCAATGTGCTTCTAGAAATGTAATATGTCTGAGCTGAAACAGATCGATAAAGCTTAAGAAAAGGCTAAAAATATGACACAGGCTGTATATTTTGAGACCACTATTGCAGCGATTCTCTTTCGAAATGGCTGATACAAGTTTTGCTCAATCATTAATTTCATTTTATGACAGTAGAGGAGGTAAGTGATCTCCAATTCTATCTTCTAGCATACGCTAGACAGACTTAATGGTATTAAGATAAGAAGATAGTGCTTACTTAACGTGGAAGATATTCATGCTCACTTTGTCTTTTTGAAACTACCCTGTCACCAATTTCGCGATATGAACTAATGCTTTATCATCCTGATGCATGATTATGTGCTTTTGAACATAAAGTTAGAAAAGCTGGGTGGTTTGGACGATGATGTGACCATCAAGAACAATCGGTATTTACAAAGACCTTCAAAATACTGAAGCCCAAACAGTCACCATGTGACCTCCATACAGTAGAAGTGGAGTTATAAAGTCGCAATCGCGAGGACTAAACATGTTGTGTGTCTTAAAATGAAAGGCCTTAAATGTTTAGATAAAATCCGCTTGATTCATAAATTCACCACTGTTTCCATACTTTACTTATTCTTGGGACTAGAATAATGATTCTCATTTTGTTTTGCTCTCCGCACCTCTTTGACCATTGCTTGAAGTTCATTCTTCCCTCCTTCTTACAATTCGAAAAACACATGTATACATTTATTCAGACTTAGAGATTTTTTAAACATGTTTTAAAAATTTGAAAAACAAAGTGTAGAAAATGTTATTAAATACTAAAACTTGAATAAAAAGAGTTTTTTATCTTCATAAACTAAAACTGAACACTTAGAGCTAAACAGAAAGTGATAGCATTCCTTCCCCACACCCGAAGCTATGAAATTCCCTCTCGGTCTGGACGGTGTAGGACATTTATCCCTGAATGAGTTCTCTTCGCACACAAACTATCCGCACACTGTTCCTGAATTGGAGGAAGAAGCTGAAACTGGATAATACACATTTTGCATTGTGAACTATTCATATCTGGCTGTCCTAAACCAGCATTTAAGGTAAGCGCTGATTATCAGTCGCTCAACCATAGCTGTCCTGACGATGAATATATTTGTTGTAGTACTATGTTTGATCAAACGAATGTTAAATTTTCGCTTCGTCTATACATTGGGAGTAGCAGACATGGGGAAGATTAGCTGTCCTCACAGGATTTAGAGCCATCGTAAATAGGGTGGTCCGTTCAGGCGCGGCAGAGACTTATAACGATATTGTCAAGTATAAATTTCGACTGTGTTATCGCCAGATGCTTGATTCTGCAACAGTCTTCCTCTGGGGTTTCGGACCCTTTTGGAAGGCTTCCGGAGAGAAACTACTAGATGGCCTTGGTCTGAGCCTCCTTCCATGGCGCACTGCAATGTTCTGTTATTTGAATAATTACTTTTTTGGTTACAAATATCTTCAACACTTTAAAATGCTTTGCATACAACTTCATGTTGCATTGGCAGTTGGCATTCGGAATGGACGAAATTCTTCGCGTTTTTACTAAATAAATAAATACGGATTGGATAGTGTGGCCTTCAATATATCACAAATGTGTGCTATCTTTGCCAACAGATGCATCAGCCATACGACACTAACAATTTGCCATCTTTTAAACTCTAGTATATCTTTGAAAAGTTCCTTGTAATTCCAAGTACCTGTAGCTGTAATACGTCTGAAAATTCAAATTACATAACTCTGCTACTATTGATAAATTTCAAAATTATTTAGTGTAGCCAATCGAAAGTGCACACGCTGGCTTGAGATTTGGAGGATTATATTCGCCAAATGTTTGAGTTCCGTTCTCGAAATCCTATAATAGCTTTATCATATCCAGCGACGAGGAGAGGAGTAAGTTTTCCAAGAATCGACTTTCTTCCGCAATATTTAATAACGCTGGAGGAAGAAGTTGTTTCACGTAGGAAAGAAAGAAAAGGAATCAGTAGAATCAATTAGTCCTTTGTATTGCTGGAAGGAATGTGTTTCTCGTGAGCCGCCCAGACGATATAGTGGTTAGGGAAGCTTACCGTGGTACCGAAAGGCCCAGGTTTGAATCCCGGAGAAAGCATGTATGTTTGTAAATGTATAATGTCTGCTCGGCATGGGGGCACTCTAAATATGCGGCTAGCCGAAAATCTCGAGAGGATGGTGATAGGGAAAGAGGGGTGGAAGACTCTCGGACCCGTCCTTCCCGGGGTGCTCTCCATCAAAATTGGATGCGGAATTGAGCGAAGTCGTGCTGTCATCTATATGATGCTTAAGGATCTTGTCAGGGACAGTAGCAATCTTGCACCCCTTGCCACGATGAACTTCGTGGGCTTGCTCTGATGTTATTGTCAGACGAGTGGGATAAATCACAACAACAACACATGTGTTTCTCGGAAAAGTTTCCTTATTGAGTATAAGACCATTATTGATTGAAAAGGAAATTTGCTATTTACCCTGCCCTCTTAAGGTTCGTGCCTGTGTGTTACTACGTAACCAAAATGTGATTTTGATGAGCATCTGGGAAGATATCTGAAGAACTTTCAACAGCATTTCAAGCCATGAAATGGTACATAGTAATTACAAATGATACAGCAAAAACTTAGATGGTGAAACGATTAGCTTTGGAATAAAAATTAATAATATTTTGCATGTGCAAAGCAAACACCGAATTATATAATTAATGATCCTGCCAGAACTGACTATTAAAATGTTATTCCTTCTTTTCGCTTCCTTGTACGAAGTAAAGGAAGTATTGTAATCACGAAAAACATTTAGGTATCCTAGTTCAATGAAAATATTCATTTTGACCGCTCCCGAATCTATATTAATAGTTTTTTGCATGCCATTTGTATGTACAGACAGAATAGATTAATTTTTTCAAAAATGGATTGTAAAATGGAATTTAAAATTGATTCAGAAGAGATTTTTTTTTGTGACATCTGTACGTATGTATGCATCTCGCATAACTAAAAATGAGTAGCCGTATAATGTTGAAATTTAGTGTCTTGCCCAGTGGGACCAAAATTTAACTTTCAATTTTGTGCACCAAAAATTTGGTCTTCGTGCCCGTTCGCCAAATTACTTGTTTTTGTGTAGAAATTTTGATTTTAATTTTTTTAAATTAACTGTATTTGATATTTTAGGTTTTCTTGTATCTTACAATTTTTAATGAAGCTGTTTTGAGATTTCATGTATTTTTGCCTGGCCGCGAAGTGAACTGAATGATTGAATGAAAAATATCTCTGTAATGAAATTCGAGGAGAATTCGAATTTAGTGCAGCAAAAAATTAAGTTGTAGTGCAGCAAAAAATGAGTATAGTATAATTTAATATTCTGTGCAAGGAAGTCGTGTGATGTCCACATCAGATATTTTAACTTAAGTAATAAATTTGAAAAATATATGTGATAAAAAGATTAAAAAATATTGAGTTTTAAAAAACAGCTTTGAATTTTAATTAGCTGGTAAATTTTGCATTTTGTTTTTATAATAAATCTTTTATTTTGGTCTCCTTAGTATAAAAACGACGAAACACTATTTTAAAATGCAATTTTATTCAAATGATATATTTGTGTACAGATAATATTTGAAGTAAAATTAACAGATATGATTCAGGCATATCTTAATTTACTTCGTTTGTACATTTCCTTTGATTTCCTTCGTTTGTACATTTCCTTTGTACATTTCCTTTGTTTGAGTTAAAATACATTTCCTTTGATTTATGAACTTATGTTCAATTTCAAATGAAATAAATTAGATACGATGTTTAAAAGTACGTAGTATAATTTATTTATAAATACATGTTCTTTACGTCGTAGGTGTACGAGATTTTATCCATGTAATGGATCTGGCGACAGGTCATGTAGCTGCCCTAAAGAAGCTTGACAAGAACCCTCATTATAAGGTGAGTTCAATAAAGTAGATAGATGAAAAGTGATAAATATTGGGAAATATGTATCTCACCATTGATTGAAAAATTCTAAACATTTAAAAAATATCATTGGGTTCATTTTCTCTCTGGGGCCCTCCAGCGGCCGAGCGGTAAAGTCACTGAACACTGGTAGTTCGGTCCGAGGTTCGAATCCCGCGAACGGGCTGGCTGCATGGGTGTTTTCGTGGTTTTCCCCATGTGTAACGTGTACACGAGCCAGTTTCCCTTAGAAAGTCCTCCACGAAGGCATCCCTTCCCTTAGGCAGATAGCCCTAGTGTGCTTTGCCATAATTAAATACACTACCATTTTCTCTCTGAACCTAAAGAGTAATTCTGGGTCCTAAAAAAGCATTAATCTGATTGAAAACAAGTAAGTAGATTAAGGGGGATACATAATCTAGTTTTTTTTATTGCGCTTGACAACTTATGTACTTGACATAAGTTGCCGAGTGCAATGAAAAACTATATTACGTATTTTTTTTTTTTTTTTTTTTTTTTTTTTTTTTTTTTAAGTTTCAGGAAATTTTCTTTTTTCTGTCGTCCATATCATGATACTGTCCAATTTGTAAGACATTTTAATTGCGCTTCATCTTTCTAAATTAAAAAAAAAAAAATTTGCATTTTACTACATATGTTTATCATTCTTCACGCGGGAAAAATGTCTTTTCTTAAGGAAAAGTCTCTTATACAAATACCTGGTTTTCAGAGGGTTGCCATTTAAGCAAGCAAAAGAGCTTTATATATTAAGTTTAATCAATGTGTAATTTCTTATAAACAGAGCGATTTAAAAGCCATAAATACAACTTAACCTCCAAATCTTAACTTAACCTCCAAATCTTATTATTAAATAATGAAGAATCTGTACGAATGTATGTTACTCGTACTTTGGAAAAATAGCGGCATCTACAGCCAACAGATTTTCTATGTACTACGTAATACTCTATCCGAATATGCGCACATCGAAAATCGAATTTAGGATTTTTTTTTTTTTTTTTTTTAAATTTCCTGTTTTGTGCGTATATATTTTGATTAAAAAACTCAATGATTTAAAAGCGATGTGTTGCTGAGCGTAAGTTCTTTCAAATTTAATCAGAAACCTCGTCGATTTGAAAGAATGGGTTACTATAGTCGGCAAAGATTTAATCACAAAACTGAGCAATTTAACAGACATGTTGTTGTGTCTCATACATGTGCGACAGCCTGGAAACAACGGCAGTGGTTTACCATGGTAACAGAATTTTGCGCTAGCATTAAAAATCTTTCATGTGTTTGACAGCATCTCGTTCTAAAGTTAATTTTAAACACGAGGTTATAAAACTGAGTTGTAGTTTTTTGTTGGGTGACATACGAAAAGAAATCCGCTGCTGTAAACTTCGGAATAAGCCTGGCGTGCTTTTCCTAAGAGTAGCGCCCTAGCCTTATTCTCGGCATGCAGTAGAGATTTTATGTTATTGTGGATGTGCATAATTTGTAAATGTACTGTAAACAGAACAGTATTAAATATTCAGAGTATGAGAATGGTAATTTTATTTTGACATAATTGACTATACATTATATGTCAGAACCTTTTGTAGTTAGGTGTGTAAAGAAGTAATAATGGTTGATCTTTACATTACGGTAACTGGTAGTTTGGCGACATTTTGGAGGCGATAAAGGTTACTACCTGGGACTTTGGTAATAATGTGAGCAGTACTGAGTTCCGATTACGCATTATTTTGTGTGGGGGAAATGCGAGATCATGGGATATGTCATGTGATATTAATGGACGAATTACGGTTCTTTAATCGGAAAAGGGGGGAAATCGGGAAAAAATCTGGAAATTTTGTATTTGGCTTTATTCTGTGTTGTGTGAAATAGTGTTTGTGAATTTTTGGATCCCATGGCCGTAAGTAAAGTGAATTCGAAATGGGTATTTAGTGGTATTGAAAAGGATAGTAAGAAATGTTTTTTAAGGTTGTGTGAGAGAGAATAAACATGTTTTATTATGTTATTTATTTTACCTGGTATCTTGCTTTGAAGATAAGTATGATTTTAAAGATTCTGAAAGAGAATGAAGAAAAGTGTATCCGCCACGTAATGAAGATTCTGAAGGAGATTAGGTAAGTTAGTATTTTTAATTATTTTTATGCATTGTTGGAAATGTAAGGTGGAAAGGAATTTGGTATTATGGGAAAATTGTTATTAGCAATGATTTAGTTTAAAGTAATTAGGATTGTAAGGTAATTTTTATTAATTGAATGTATGTGCTCATGTATATTTTAAGTGGTGTTTTTGAATTTAATTATATTTTAATGAAATGATAGTTATTTTGTGAATTTTATACTTGTAGGAATTTGGTGTATGTTTAAGTTGAAATAAATGTGCATGGAAATAATTTAAATATTTGATAATAAATATTTGTAATGCTTCATGTATGAATTCGTTGGTGACGTGTATAATGTAACAGATGATTTAGAGGTAAAAGTTTTTGGATATTTTATTTATTTTATATGTGGAAATGTTCATATTTGTAAAGGGTAAATACTTTTTCGCGATCAGGTAATTTCATATATGTTCTTTTTACCGGGTTTAAAGATTGAGAAAATTGTCATGTATTTTCGTGAAATTTTTTTAATTTATGAGATAAAGGCAGTGTACATGGATATAGTGAAGAGTGTGCGCAATGCCATTTTTGTGCAATTCTGGGATGTTTCTTTAAGTAAAAATAAGTCGACGTGTACATGGTTCAGTGATATTTTAATGAAATGATAGTTATTTTGTGAATTTTATGCTTGTAGGAATTTGGTTTACGTTTAAGTTGAAATAAACGTGCATGGAAATAATTTAAATATTTGATACTAAATATTTGTAATGCTTCATGTATGAATTCGTTGGTGACGTGTATAATGTAATAGATGATTTAGAGGTAAAAGTTTTTGGATATTTTATTTATTTTATATGTGGAAATGTTCATATTTGTAAAGGGTAAATACTTTTTCGCGATCAGGTAATTTCATATATGTTCTTTTTACCGGGTTTAAAGATTGAGAAAATTGTCATGTATTTTCGTGAAATTTTTCGAATTTATGAGAAAAAAGCAGTGTACATGGATATAGTGAAGAGTGTGTGCAATGCCATTTTTGTGCAATTCTGGGATGTTTTTTTAAGTAAAAATAAGTCGGGCGTGTACATGGTTTATGTGTATGTGTTATTTTGAAAAACGCGTAAGGTGTATGGTATTGTGCACTTTTTCTGAATTTTGCAGTGAATATTTGTCATGATTAAGCAGTTTTGTTTGATAAAATTTCTAGCATAAGTGTAATTCGGCTAGTAGATTGTTGGAAGAAGTGTTCAGTAGATAAGAAGAAAAGAAACATGTCTTTACTTCGTGAAGACAAAATGGCGGCGGGGAAAAAAAAAATAGAGGGTTGCTGTAGGGGAGTTGGTCGCCAAATTTTCGCCAAAAAATCGCCAAGTTACCGTAATGTAAAGATCAACCGTAATAATATATAGCGATTTAATCTGTTATTGATTAACAAACTAAGCAATTTAAAATCAGTAAATGCAATTTCTAATCTCTGTTATTATCAGTTACTAGCTGAACCTGTGAAATAACACTAAACTCATTATATATGTTTTCTCGTTTCACAATAACCGCTTTAAGCGGCTAGTTTAGTTAAGAACACAAAATAATATAATTTGAAATACATTTATTCTATAATACATCCAATTAATAATTTTTGTGCAAATTTTCAGCATTATTGTAATTACTAGAATGAACAGATTTTAAGTATCTCGGCGCAGAACCTTCCACTAATATCACTTTATCTTAAGTTACCGTATTTTTTCGACGATGAGACGCTTTCCAAACTTACAAGATAATTTTTTTTTGGGGGGGGGGAATCTTTATTTTCTACATACTGTGTTACTTTCAGACCGTAAGATGCAACCCAAAATAAATTTTTTTAGTAAAAATTGTACTTTATAATCCTTTATATCCCCTAGTATTAATCACATTTTATTGTTATCAGAAAACAATGTTTACAATATTTATATCGGTAATTTCTCTCGTATTTGTCCCAAAACTGGTAAAAAATATCAAATTAAATTATAAATTATTTTGTACTTCATTGTCTAATTGTATAGTCCAGCGATTCTCAACCAATGGTACGTAACAGAAAAATAGGTACTACGCAAACGAAGTATTTTTATCTATTAAATTCAAAAATTAAATACCCCAACATCCTGTTTCAACTTTTTCTCTAACACTCGTAAATTTATGCGGTCTGAGCTTTGTTGAAGGTCAATAGCCGCTCATAGACTTTCCGTTTCTATTTTCACAAATATTCTTTGAGCCATAGACATAACAAATTTTGTCACAAATGATGTTTATAAAAGGAGTTCTAGAAATGGATGTTGTATTTAATAAGAAGTAATAATAAATTCCTATAAAAAGGTAATAGTATTTCCTTAATTCTATGCATCGATTTATTAGCATAGCTACACTATATGCCGCCACCATTTCCGGTCTCATATTGCTTTATTTTCAATTACACTGGTTATCATAAATTAAGGAAAATCACAAAAATCATGATTACTGAAAAGTTACATGTAGAATTTAATGAAACTTACCCACAATATACAACACATAGTAAAGTATCAAATAACATAAAAAGAAATTACCAGACATGTTAGTACAAATATATGTTATATGTTATATGTTATATGTTAGTACAGAAATTAGCACATGTATAAAATGAACAAATCGAAGGTGTCAGTTTGCTATAGGAAAAGTATCTTCAATATGGAATATGATCGCCTCTAGAAGCAATACAGCATATACAGCGATGTGTGATGCTTTCAATTATGCGATCTATCAGTTTCATAGGAAGCGAGAGCCGTTGCTCTTGCAAAGCAGTTGCAAGCGCGACAAGGGTTTGAGGGGACGGATTGAGAGCAGCTAGACGTCTCCCTAAAGCATCCAAAACGTGCTC